TAGCCTGTGAGATTTGGGGCTCCCAAAATTTGTTCAGGTCAAGAAACTTGCAAAAATGTATTTCACTGATAAATCAGTTAGACTTACACAAATAATGTTTCAGAAATACATAGCTGAAATGTGTACACTGGTTAGAGGCCAAACATTTTAGGTCTGGGAGTCATTTAGTTGGATGAGCCATCTAATATTAATATACTTATGGATTATTTAAGTTACCATGATTTGCTAAAACTTAATCTGATGAGCTCCAGACAATCTTAGAAAATATAACCTCTACAGACTATAAAAATGAAAAAGGAGGTAGCTCTCTCTGGGACAGGCGTTTACTTCACAAAAACTGTATTTAATGATAGCATTCCCTGTCAATGAAGAACATTAAATTTTTCTTCTATAATTATGCTTCACATAATTAACGCAAAACAAATTAGCATACCAAAAACAGGCAGAACTAAGGCCTTATGTTTCATGATGTCAATATATAGAAAATAATTAAGTAATCAGTAATTAAGACTAAAACAAAACAATGTAAATTTGACTCTTTAGCACTAACTTACATGCTCTGATAATTCAACATGTTTGAAATGTTAACTTTTTCCACACAGTCGCATAGCAAAAAGCTGATACAATACATTTCTTTACCTTCCTTTCCTAGGTTTAAAGTTGCATTTTGGGGGATTCCCTCTAGGGCTTATGTATCAGTCAGTAACAAACCAAGGCCTCCCATTCTTTACAAGGCCTACCTTTGCCCGGACTACTTTTTGTAGCTTGGTCTCCCCCTTTCCCACTCCCCACTGCAGAAGGAACGAATGCTGGTGTTCACAGCTTTATGTGAAGGCCCTGAAGCAATTACGGAGGAAAAAAGCGCTGTAAACTGAAATGATAGTATGATTACAGGCAGCAGCCATTTAAACATCTAATGATGTTGAGCATTGACACAGAAAGACATAACCAACCGCTAAAAGAGAAAAATGTTTCCACTCTCACAATGCCACCTGGGAAATGGGGAAGGGGCGGGGAAGATCACGACTTTAGCCCTTCAAGAATCACACTGGTGCCTGCCACTTCAAAACTCTTGACGTCTCACCTCATAATGGGCTCAAAGGCACAGCTGGCTAGGAACGCCAGCACCTGGTTACAGCCAAATGAGTATTTTTACAGACACTCAAAAGTGTTCTAACATTTTTATTTTAGTTTCCAATCCTCTTTTCTTCCAAAATGAGGCAGAAGTAAACTCTGAGGAAAATGCATTTATTAAATAAGGCTGTAAAAGAAGAAATAGGAAACCAAACCATGAAAGCAGCAGCATATATGTAAACTGTGAGATTTACAGCATAAAAATCCTAGAGACGTTAGGTCTCACAACTGACACACTGAATTATATCATACTCAATTGTAACTTCCAGGTTGGAAATGATTATACCCAGTTTCCAACAGAGGACTTGTGTTTCTCCGGTATTAAGTTTTATAAAGGACCTATGGATTATCATGTTAAGTGAAGTAAGTCAGACAAAGACAAACAGCATAAGACATCACTTACACGCGAAATCAAAAAAAAAAAAAAGATACAAACAAACTTATTTACAAACCAGAAACAGACTTACAGACATAGAAAACAAACTATGGTTACCAAAGGGGAAAGGGGAGGGGGATCAATTTGGGATTAACATATACACACTACTATATACAAAATAGGTAACAAAAAGGACCTACTGTATAGCACAGGGAACTATATTCTATGTCTCGTAATAACCTATAATGGAAAAGAATGTGAAAGAGAATATATATGAATATGTGTAATTGAATCACTCTGCTGTACACTTGAAACTAACACAACATTGTAAATCAACTAAACTTCAATTTAAAAAAAAGTTTTGTAAAGGGTACAAGGAACCCCTTAACAGAGTAGTAGAGAATGCCTTTAATGAAAGTGAGAAAACAAACGCAGCAGTATTCTTCACATAGTCACCTAAAAATCTCTCCTCAACAAGTCAAGGTCTTAGTGAATGCTTTTCTGTAGGGGGCAGCTAACTATGGCCTACCGAGGTAGTTTTCTGGATCTAATTTTGTGAGGAAAGAATTTATGCAATTCTTGGAAATTATGCCCAATTATAAATTCCTTGAGAACAAAAACTACATCGAATAGCCATTTTGTATGTTTTATGTCACTTTCTCACGGTAAGGGGCTCATGGTAGCCAACACTGCACAGTGGGCTAAGCATTAATTACACAGTCCAGTGATATCATCACCTTCTTTCTAACTTGCCACCAAGTAGGAACACAAACACTGTTGAAATGAGGCTAGGCCGAACTGTTAAGCAAACTATACGAGAAAGAATCCATAATATGGAATATGATAGTGGAAAATAGTTTTTTCCTTTATATAGAATACATAAAAAAGACTAATGCTATTATTCAAAAGCAATTTAAGATAATGTTACAATAGACTTTTCTTAGGGTGAAGATTACAGCATGAATTCAACAAGTCAGCTTTCGTTGTTTTTTAAGTAGGACTGGAACAGGTATAGCAGAAACTCAGACTTACCAAGGAATTAGATGTTTGATGTAGCAAATTTTCTGTTCCACCAATGTTAACATCCTTTAAGTGTTAACATTTCTTAAAAAGAAACTTGCAAATAGAAATCTTTCCAAACTATAACACACAATTCTCTACCCAAGCCAAGGACAACGTGCCCAATTTCACCCTTTCCTTGATGACTCGGGTCACTGCTGCCTGTAGAGCAATGGCCTCAGTGGTTATGACCTCCCATTACTGTGCTTTTTTCAGTTTTTAATATTTGCTTTTTATAGCTTTTCTGCGACAGTAATAACCA